AACTAAATATCAAACAAGAATATCTGACGTTGTTTAACCGTTTCAAGATCCCTTTCTATTAGACGGACTTTTTCGTTTCCCAAGGGTGTCCGCTTACTGGAGATTCGACTGTATAACTAATGTATAGCATTTCAAGTAAGCATTCTTTAAAAAAATCACTGTTTTCGAAATTTTTCGAAAAAATACTTAGCCCCTTATTAGTAGTGTGTGCATACCATGTCCAGACCGGAGGCCTGCGATGACACGGTCTTAAAATGCAGCGACATTATTTATTTATTTTTTCCAAGTCGCACTATAGCGAACCGTAGCGAACTCAATGGTACGGTGGCCCATAGGGGACATGCTGCAAATAAAACGAGTTGCTGCAAATAAAAAACGAGTTGCTGCAAATAAAACGAGTTGCTGCAAATAAAAAACGAGTTGCTGCAAATAAAACAAGTTGATGCAAATAAAACGAATTATTGCAAATAAAAAAGCAGTTGCTGTAAATAAAAAAGCAGTTACTGCAAATAAAACGAGTTGCTGCAAATAAAAAAGCAGTTGCTGCAAATAAATTAAAAAGCAGTTGCTGCAAATAAAAAATAAAACGCTGCGCGCGCATTTGGCCGGTAAAGACTGGTTCCTACTATTCAGTCCAAATGCCAACTTCACACGTGCAGTTCGGTAGAGGCTATTTCGTCAAACTCAGAATGAAATTCTGTCAAAACGAGCAACTAAAAACAACAATAAACACCAAATCCTGCCCTAAAACTAACCCTAACCTTAGAGCTAAAAATATTTCTATAGTATTGAATTAAATTGCGATAATTTTTGAGGAAAGTAGAAATCGAATAAGCGAAATATTCAAGCAAAACATCGTGCTTCACACGCGGCCGGCTATACAGCACGAATTGCATCTCAGGGAGCCCAAGCAATGACTTTGACTCTATAATAGTTAAAAATAAAATTCCCGATTGGCCCCCCATAGCGTTTCCAAATTTGTCTAGTTTTCAGTTTTGAGCGCGCAAGTGTCTCAGCTGGATAACCTCGACACGAATAGGTTTGGGCTATTTTTGAGGGACACTTTTGTGGATTTTTTTTTGCCCGAAAAAGCATTTCTCTCGATGCCTCTCGTCCAAAATAAGGTAGAAAACGTTGATTTACATATGCTGTCTCAGATAAAAGTTCGTTTTGATTTAATCACGGCGCGAAAAAGGGATTTTTGTCGATCGTTTTTGTCTCTTTTTTAGGAGATTTCGAGCGGAGTCACCTCCCTTGTCACTATATATATATGTATGCAGGGGAAATTATTTTAACCCACTTATAATGCATTTTCATAATGAATAAAATAAAAGTAAAGTATTTTATATAAGACCATGGGAAGTAGGAAATTTTTGAAAATAGATGCGGCTGTTTTTCATTTTTCATTATTTTTTCGGCTTAAAACGTCTTAAATTGATCTTAGATACTTTCTTACAAATAAATAAAATGTTTGGCACAAAGTAGGAAATTTATGTTTTAACCGCCGAAACACGTATGCTATATCTACTTACAATTTGTCCACGTTTTATTTGCTAATCAGTCAACAAAGTTCTGTCATGAGCTATTTCAAACTTTTATACGTATATATATTATATAACCATCCATATATAGTTTATCTAATGTACCATCTTGGAAAGAGCTAGTCAGGAGACTAGGTGGGTCGCCATAATTGACTCAGTTGTTCCTTTGTGTGGTCATTCCAATGGGTTCAACAGTCCTGCTACTCAAGAAACTGCCCGCCTCCTCCTCCCCTGGCCTTTCCTCGATTGTATTTGTTTTTTATTGACGGCGTTTTATTTGCCCTCACCTTTACTGGTCAGTTAAGATTTATGCTATTGTAGGAATTGTTAATATTTACCAGAATGGTTATTTTGAAATTAAACGTGGCTTTGGGGTTTTCCCCATAGCCATTTAACTCCATCACGAGTTTCATATGTTGACATTTGTTTACGATAAAAAACCGACCAGCAAACAAGCTTGCTCAATGCAGCCCTGAATACGCCATCGCTCTGATTATGAGGCATTAAAACATAAATGTCACCTATATAATGAGCGACGTAGAAATTTGCACGTTCGTTAGCTACAGATATTAATTCTGGCGCTCTATGTTTTAAATTTTAGATTTCTAATTTGCTAAATAACTATATAACTATCCAAGCAGATTTTCTAAAGATTTTATTTATGAATAATGATTTTTTTTACAAATAATGAAAATTATATGCGGCATCTCTCGGACCATGCGGGCGGTGGACGCATATCTATGACTCCATTTCACATGGCCTGAGTAAAATTTTATTTTTAACTATTATAGAGTCAAAGTATTGCTTGGGCTCCCTGTGACTGCACGTTTGAAGTTGGCATTTGGACTGAATAGTAGGACCTAGTCTTTACCGGCCAAATGCGCGCGCAGCGTTTTATTTCTTATTTGCAGCAACTTGTTTTATTTGCAGCAACTGCTTTTTTATTTGCAGCAGCTCGTGTTATTTGAAGCAACTGCTTTTTTATTTGCAACAACTCGTTTTATTTTCACCAACTGCTTTTTTATTTGCAGCAACTCGTTCTATTTGCAGCAACTGCTTTTTTATTTGCAGCAACTCGTGTTATTTGAAGCAACTGCTTTTTTATTTGCAGCAACTTGTTTTATTTGCAGCAACTGCTTTTTTATTTGCWGCARCTTGTTTTATTTGCAGCAACTGCTTTTTTATTTGCAGCAACTTGTTTTATTTGCAGCAACTGCTTTATTTGCAGCAACTCGTTTTATTTGCAGCAACTTGTTTTTATTTGCAGCAACTCGTTTTTTATTTGCAGCAACTCGTTTTTTATTTGCAGCAACTCGTTTTTTATTTGCAGCAACTCGTTTTATTTGCAGCATGTCCCCTATGGGCCACCGTACAATGGTCCCAGATTCGAACCTCAACTCGAGCAAGTGTGGTAATTAGTTCTTTCTTTCTTTTTTATTTAACTGAAGTATAGTTGTTCTAGTCATGTTCATTTTTTTTGTAGATATTTGTTTTATTAATATTTACGATCCGTTTTTAAATTTTAGTCACATGATCATACTCGAATTATTTTCGAGCCTTTTTTTACTTTTTTTACAGAAGATTATATACTACGGATAGCGGAGTCGATCGCGGGTTCGATTCTCGACTTAAGCACTTCTAATACAATTCTTTTTCTTTCTTTCTTTTTTTCCGTGTCCAAGCCGGCAGCGACTTTAATCATTTTTTTCGCTTCGCAGTTCATATACAAGGTATTGCTAACCTGCGTTGAGTTCTTTTGTAGATATTCGTTCAATTATTATTTACGAGCCGTTATTTTGATTTTACACCGAATATCATACTCGAATAGCGTCGAACTTGGATCGCGGGTTCGATTCTTGACTCGATCTTTTCTAAACAATTCTTTTTTTCTTTCCTTCTTTCTTATTTTTACTGAAATATACTTATTCTGGTCACGTTTATTTCTTCCTGTAGATATTTTTTATATTATTTTACACGCAAGATCATGCTTGAATGGCGTCTTTGAACTGACGATCGCGGGTTTGATTCTCGACACAAGCAGCCTCTAAACAATTCTGCAAATTAAGCTAAATATGGGAGTGTCTAAACATTGCAATGATAAAGATATTCAAAAGAAATGATGTGAAGAGATTATACGCAGAATCTATCAAATCAATCAAGGCCCTTCTAAAAATATATATTTCACGGAGAAATTCTACACACTTAACGTAGCCTGGTGTGTTCAACAAAGTGGTTCTTGTTCATTAATTTTTGTCRCAATAAGATTAATTTTCTTGAGAATTTCAGTTCAATGTTCATCTTATGGATTCATGATTTTTCACCCCCTGAACCTCMCTGACCCTGGTGAGSATCGCTGRGCCTYCCTGACCCTGGAAAGACTCGCCGAGCCTCGAGACTCGGGGTATAATTCCATGCACACACTACTATTCCCGTTCTACTTCAATGAAAAATGTTGGATCATTTCAATAATTACTATAGGATTCAATYATTTTCTCAAATAAATCATATTTATAAAAAAAAATATGTTTAAAATTGTTGGAAAAAAAATACAGAAAGTTTAATATTCTTACAGCAAMACACGTATTAAAAAGAATGTAAGTGCATTTTCTAGCAATGAAATTCTAACCACCTATATCTTATAAGAATGGAAATAAAAGATTTTCTTTAACATACCCTACAGCCATCAGTGCTCCATTTATTTGTGCTTTCGTTTCTAAAAAGACAACAGAACGTATTGATCTCCAACGAATAATTCAGGGATGTGCTCTTGTTGAACAACTGTGGTCTTGCTGGTGGAAATTCGGTAGGTATTGGGGGGATAGTAGGAGGCGRTTTTTCTTCCACCTGGGAACACTTTCTTCTAGGAGTTGCTGTAGTCATTGTCTCGTTTTTATTTGTAATGTTGTTCGTATTGGTGTTGCTCAATTCCCGACGGCGTCGATGGAAAATTTGATCTGAACTTCCAATGATTTGCTCATCTGAATAGAAATGACCCTCTTGTCCTTCATCAGAGTGATGTTCCATACTTGGGTTAAGGTGATCATCGAAGCCACCATCGAAATCAGAGTTATCGTACGTCAATTGGTRTAATAAGGTTATAGACCTCTTGCCTCTTCCTTTTCCCTTAGTTGGAGCTTCAGTCGTATTGGAAACATTTGCTGTTCGGTTTTCTGTCGTCAAAGTGGTCGTAGTTGGCATAGACGTCGTCGTTGGGGGAGGTGGAGGAGGAGTTGTTGGTGGCGGCCACTGGGTGGAGTTGAAGCACACTGCTATGTAATAATAACCTGTGACATTAAAARTGTCTATACCAATGAACCGTCGGTAAATGTTTTTATGGCATTTTGCGTATTTATTATAAATCAGTTTTTTCTTGGAAAGAAGTGGTTTGCACTTCTCATATTGCTCTACAGTGCGGTTTTTACAATCAAGAAAGCGTTGGACCTTTGGACAAACTACTGGTCTAGTAGTATTAGTTAGGTTGTCGAATCGAAACGTGTTGTTCCCACACCCAGGTGGGTATTCAAAGCTTGCGTTATTATAAGATGTCAAACCCCCCTTATCGTCTTTGGTATTGTTATGAGTACCGTTTACTGGGACAACTGGACACGGTGGACATCTTGCAATTTGGTGATAATCAAGACACTTTGGTAAGTCTCGTTGGAAGCTAGTATTCGATAGAAAACTAACATCTGGAATAGTGATATTTTCACAGTTTGTGTTATTATTCGTTCTATTAAAAGATTTCCATGTTTCGTTCAAGCTCAGATTCGTGTTCCCAGTATCATKAAATTCCAAACCCATGCATTCCATAAAATCTTCAATGCCCGTGCAATTGTCGCGCTGAGGCGGTTCCACACAGGAYGACAARTCCGGGTGATAGTAYTCGTAGTCATATTTTGTCTTCGTYACTCGTTTTCCATATCGAATGTATATAGTAACATATTTTTCTTGTGCAAGTGAACAAATCACTTCAAATGCTGTTTTGTCTTTATCAACGAAGAATTTATGATTCACACAATCTTTGTCTGGAGAAACAAAGTGTGGATAATCTGGAACACTTTTCTGTTTTTGAGGAGCATGAGTTGGTATTTTCAGCTCAAAATCCGTATCAAGTCCATTAACTGATATAGAAGATCCGTTCCTTGTCGAATAATCCATGCTAATGACAGCAGATGACACCTTTATGCTGCCGTTACCCCAAGTGTAAGGACTGTTTTTGTTGATTGTAACCTTTGAGCTTACAAACATGTCAGCAGCGTCACAGCTAGTATTTGGTGGACACTAAATAAAGGTAAATAAACATATGATTAGTTTGTTAGCTCTTCAAGTTGTTGTTTTTTTGTTGTTTTTGTTTTTTTGAGTATATGATGTATGATATGAAGAATTAAACCATAAATTGAATTTTGTTTAATTTTGAATGTTAGATTTAGCGCAAAACACTCATCGCCGGTTTTTGATGGATTGAGAGAATCAACATGYGTAAAAAGTATTGAATRTACAGAGTCAGTTGACTTCAGACACAAAGATAGTAACATTTGGATATAAGCCTAATTTTTCTCTTCATCTTGCGAAATGTTGTTAATCAAGTAAATTAGGATGAGTTCTAATGATATGAATAATCTATTAACAAAATAWGAACCATTTTTCTTAAAAATACTCACCGCAGTATCATTTCCTACAAGTGATTTCATAAAAGAAGGTACATTAACCTCTCCGCCATTGACATTGTAGGACTCTGGTAGTTTGTCAGCTTCGGTTTTTGCGATTTCTAGCCCAAGTGATGGTGTCTGGAACTTTTTTGGTCTTTCCCCACCAAGCATTTTGCCCAGAAGTGTTTTTGAGATTGAGTCGGTGGCATTGATTGCTGACTGTCCAACTTCTTTTAACTAAAAGTAGAAGAAGTAGAAGATGCTTATTACTGACACAGAGATTACGGATATCTGTAGATTGCTACAAAYGAAATGACAGTTGTTGACTTCTACTCGTCTCRGTTGATATTATTCTAATTTCCCTATTTTGAGTTTTTTACKTGTTTGTTTGTTGACATGAATTCTAGAGAGATTGCTAACAAATAGCATAAATACGAGTTGGCTGTTGTATAACTTTCATTAAAWAAATACCTTTGTGCTGTTCACTTTTTCATTTTCCTCTTGAATTTKTTGACTATTATCGCTCTTGCCAGCAGGCGACGCTTTTGATGCTGCACCRTCGACAACATTTCCCACGAGATACAGAAGGGTTTCTCCTGCCTGGTCAAATACCATAGGATCATCTGTGTTGTTGACGCCCGCAAGGGTTTCGGACATTTGTACAGCGGATGAGATCGACATAATCTAAATTGAAAAATGATAGCAATAAAAATGATGATGACAATAAACTTAAGTATGTCGTCAATAAAAAGAGTTATTATGACAATAATTTAAGRATAAATGGCAGCGGATATGATTATCGTCGACCCGGAATGTCTTCAGGAGAAGTTTGAATWGATCTSTCCATCAGCTAGAAAACGTTATGCATACGAATCAAAGTCATTTTACATAGTTCATGCCATAGTCTAGGATGTAAACAAAGAGAGCCATGCAATTTCAAACTATACTGCCTTTTAGGATAGGTCATAATGAAGAACCAAGGACTGAACGAACAAAGACGTGCTTTACATATATGGTTAAAAAGCGAAGACAAGGRTTCTCAAATTTCAATTCATATTCGAGTTCTAGTGTTTGAACTTGTTTTTAAGCTAGCCAAACACWTTCTTCATTGTTTCGATGGAAGATTTCTTGAAATAAAGCAATTATCAATRTGTGTGTTTACGAGAAATCTGTATTCATATCTGTCATATCAAATATACGTGGAACAATAGTGTTTGGGTCCTCAACGAAAATTCCACAATGGTCATTGGCTGACAAGATATTGGTAAGGTTGTGGTAAGGTACGGTTTTAGATGCCAAAGSTTATTTCAGTTATTACCCAAAACCGTCTCCAATCAAAACGACTTCCTCTTTGACAGTGACCAATATTCATGCTTTAAAAGCATATACAGCTAAGTATTCTGAACACCAAAAATCCCCTTYGGTCCTAAATTGAGTGATTTGCCTTATTTAAACCTAAACACGTCTTGTCAATTTGTTCCTATATGCTGACAATCCAGACAATTTCAAAAAGCTTGTAGTCCAGTCCYGGCCTTCTTTCAACCCGCTCCAGGATTTGCGGGGTATAATTTGCATGCGCATGTCAGCTTTGTRAMCTMGCGATCACCACATAAATGTATGTTATTGGTCCTAATAATTCTCCCTCGTCATTTCAAAGGATTGAATCGTATTACTGTCGGATATAAGTTTAGAGTCGGTCTAGTCATCAATATGTATCGTTCACCACTCGTTTCAAGTTAGCTATCGTTGGCATTTCTGACGCGAACATGAAAGCGAAACTGCTTTGAATAAATCTAATTTCTTGACAGATGGGGCTTAACACAGACAAAAGCAGACTATGAATTAAACAGATAAGACTAATGTGAACAAAGAAAGATTGCGAACTCAGTAGAGGATTAAAAATTCAAACTGGTCGCTACGTATATGGCTATTAATCTGATTGGTTTGTTTTCCACACGCGCATGCAAGTTATACTCGACTCTCTTTCCCCGCGAGTCCTGGAAAACTGCAAACCATTCTCTCAGTATGCGATCAATTATTTACGGCGGCTTTGGACTGTAAAATGTCATACTGAAAGGCTGAAACGATGACATTCAACGTCCAAGAAGATGTTGAAAATACGGCAGATACTCTTGTTTAGGTTTAYACGAATAAGAACTATACCATCATTCGAAGAAAATATCGGTTCGCCCAACATTGTTTGACGTGTTCCGTGATCCTTCCAAAATTTCTAGTAATGCATTCTCATGACAAGTGACTATTGAAAAGTTAAAAACACTACAACTATATATTTGACCTGTGAGTCCATAGACAGTTCCTCTGATTTTGCAGTTGATTCGATTAGCACGCCAGAAACCATATTGATACTTTGGGATCCATTAGAGGAGATGCTCATCATAGAACYTATGACCCTTTCACGTATCTGGAAACAAATAGTAATAATTTAAAAGTTTTGAATCGTCAAAGCTACTCACTATCAGAAAGAGAATTTCTGCTGTTCATGTGTTTCTGTTTTGTATCGAACTCATCAGAGATTCCACGCGAGGATTTGCTKCTAATTTTTCATAGCACATTCAACTTATCGAACAACGAATGGGTGGCCGTCATCTTGATAACAATTGCTTTAGCCAGCAAGTGCACACTGCAATTTCCCACCTTACAAAAAATGTGTTTTACGTTGAGAGTTGGATTGATCGCGAATAAAACGAAAACATCGAAACAGAAATTTAACAGAAAATAAAACATCAAGAAATTTTTGAAAGGAAGACAATTGTTTGAATTGCTGCGCCGTTAGAGCAAAGGTCACTGCATGGCCCTCTAAACACATCCCCAATTTAAAACAATTGCTCGGCTTATAATAGCATTATATCAACTGTTTTTCGCTACACAAGCACAAGCCTACACCGTATAAATTGTCTGGTTAAAACAGCCATAAGAGAGGGATGAATAAAGCATGGGCAAGAATGAAAGAAAAGTTAAATGAATGATTATTGAATTTCATAAATCAGGACTAATATCATTTTTCCAAATACTACCTTCGATTTCTTCATTACTGACATGTTGCCGGTCTTATTAGTAGACAGCAAACTAAGGGAAGCCAAGCTCTTTTGCGCCATCTCTTGATCATCATTTGTGTTGTTCAGCGTATCTAGTAAATAGTCTACAGGATTGCTTATATCAGGTTCGGTTACCTAAAAACAAAACAAAAATTAAAATGATTATTTATTTAGAAATAAAAGAACAATAAACTGTCAATACCGATGCAATTTGTGACGACGACATTCACAACATTGTGACAATAGCAAAAGCAATTGATCTAACCCTTCGCCCATGGATAATAAACGTCTTTCAAAAAGCTGATATTTTGGATGATTTGGTTCCCGTCCCACTCTAATTATTCACAGTGTATGCATTTGCAGTTGTCATAGAACTAAAAAAAAGTGACGTCGAACCGGGATGGAAGATGGACAAACTTTTTAAAAGAATATATTACTTACAGTTAAATTCAAAAACACACTTGTGCTCTCCCAGTAATCAAACACCTTAACCTCAGTTGTAAGAGAAAAGTTTTTGTCACCATCTCCCAAAGGTAATCTCAAAGAGAAAGTGCTCGCATTACCAAAGTAAACTAGCTTGGCGAGGCCATTAGGAAGGTGYACCCATGATTCATAGTGAAGAAAAGGATCTGCGTCAATCCAATTTTTGCAGTCGATCGTTAGAGTGTCCACAAGTGCTAAAAGGTCACTCTTGTCAGCTGTGCACTTTCCTGCGTGTGGTAGTCTATTTGTTGTAAAGATGTGCTTGCTGACAAATGTTCCATTTTTTATGTTTTGAACAATATGTTCTATCTTGTAGGTTTTGTTCTGTTCCAGAGTGTTTTCCGCCAATACAAAGTTGAAATTTTCCCCACTGGTGAGTTTTTTGTAAGACGTCACTTCCTCCCAAACAGTATCATCTGAAAACAATACTTATTTCAGTATTTTTATTTATAATTTCAGTATTTATTTTTTATTTTTTAAAACAAGTTGATATCGGAGATTCCGAGACCCCACKCGAGTGGTGCACCATAGCTCACATCAATCTGCCAATGGCAACATGACTCGYAKATTGTCAGAGATTATGTTAAAAAATGTTTTGTCAAACAATGACCGGAATCGACGGGGATCGTATGGGAATGTTTTATTCTAAAACTCATTAATAATTCATGAGCTATTAGTCCAATGAGCACCGAAGTATTGGGTCACATGATGGGCCTTTAT